CGTAATTTGATAAGATCACGATGACTAAGACCTACGCTTTTTGTGATGTCATTTTGTTAAGCTCGTTTAGGCAGGTTTTAAACTATTTCAAGTTCAGGTTATTTAAAGGTAAGTTTTAACTCAGAGACTGACTGACTGATCTATGAAAGCACAATGCGTGAACAGATATTTTTTTAAATACAAACTCGAAAGGACTAGTTAATTTTTTATTAGAGCATATTAAAATAACTATACTTACAGTAAACAATTAACACAGCACCATCAGTGCCAAACTATGCCTATTATTACTCTACGATTCTCTAGTCTAAGTTACGATCACACAAAACAATTAATACAGGGCCATTTAGTCAAGTAATTTGGGACTAAATGGGCCTGTGTTACATAGCAGGGATCAAACTCTGTTAAGTTTTATTACTCTATAATTTTCAACTTATAGTTAGGATCTCTATGGTTAGGAGACACAAGAAGGACAGGTCTATGATAGTTAGGATGTATTTTGTATTGTTGCGACATATAAATGCAGGTTATCGATATTGAATTATATACTAAATCCTTTGTAATTTACTAGCTATTCGGCCCGGCTTCACACGAGAGTACATGCATTATATATACTTTGACTTGAAACACTCTATCTATTAAAAAACCGCTTCAAAATCCGTTGCGTAGTTTTAAAGATTTAAGTATACATAGGGACAGACAGCAACTGCGACTTTATTTTATACTATGTAATATAATACTGCTTACAACTGAACAAATGAAATTCTTATTTATCTATCTATTATTGCTCTATACACTATAGTACTAAACAACTGATAGAAATACATAGAAACAACTCAGACGAATACTGTTTGTATATATGTAAAATATCGTAGATATGAATACAAATACTTGTATCATGCTATAATATATTCTTTACCTTAGGAAGTAGGGTGCTAATTCTCTAGGCCACCGAATCCGTCAAATAAATGGAATAGTAGACGATACATTACTTACAAAAAAGCTACAAGAACTGGTTAGTTCTTTTAGTAGTACAGGTAAGATGTAGCAGTAACAGTCTACTGTTGGCCTAGGTACGCTACGGTGGCCTAGAGAATTAGCTCCCTACTTCCTAAGGTAAAGAATATATTATAGCATGATACAAGTATTTGTATTCATGTGTACGATATATTACATATCGTAATTTTATAATTAGGGTTTTATTCAATTATTCACTTTGTTTCTTTATGAAAAGTGTTCAATTTCATTTAAATTATGACCACCTCGGTGGTTTAGCATACTGCTTTACTTCCGATGGTCGCGGATTCCAATTCTTCGCAGGGTATAAACATTTTTATTCAAGTATGATTGTTTGAATTGGTGTTTTCTATGTATAATATTTAGAAAAAAAAATATAATTCTTTATATATCACTTCTCTATACCCATAATATAAGCTCTGCATAGTTTGAGATTAGATGGTGCTAAAACTGTCCTAAGATATTATTATATTATCATGGATTCTCAGTATATTCTTTTAGATGTTTCTCGCGAATGTCAGGAAATTTTAGAACATTGTCTTTAATAGGTATATCATGTATTTATTGTGCGACCCCAGCGTTTGCTAATCGGGTATACACGACAATTGGGCCTATGACCTTTCCTCGAATGCTTTCGGAATGTAACCTTTTAGTTTTGATGAGTCTGTCCTTCTTTAATGTTTCATTGTGATCTTTTAATCGGACAGTATACATTACTAGTTTATTTCTTTAATCGAAAATTTTACTTTATTAGTAAGCCGCAATGGTCTGTAATATTATGTTTAATTTACTATAAGGAAATATATAATTAATTAATAATTTCGTTATCAAAGTTCGAGACATAGAAAAAAGTATTAATTAATGTCATGCTTATTTAATAAGCTTTATTAAAGTTAATGTACGAATATTTATAGGAAGTCTATTACAACAGAATATAATAAGATTAAGCCGTATCGTAATATATCGTAAGAAATCACTGGTAATCTTACGTAAATGATGTAAATTTTAAAAATAAGTGGAACTGAATTGAGCCATTTACTTTAAAATTTCAATTCCTTACTTCAAAACTGGCAAATATTTAATAAAATTGAGTGAAGTGAAACTTAGCAATAGTTTTATATGAAGTCATATGTTCTGTAACTTTTTTGTATATAAACGTCTTTATATGCAACAAGGAATTTTGTAGTATAGTATACTCTATACCACAGGTTACCTTACTATTACCTTATGCTTATTATAATCTAATCTGAAAATTAAATATTTTTTCACAACTGCTATGAGTCGTTCTCATGGGAATTGAATAGATTTGCATGGGGAAAGCTGCGAGGAATAGCTACTAGTTTCAAAATAACTAGCGTCCAAGATAACAAATTATTGATACTACACGTAAGTACGTTATACAACTAATAGGAGTCATTCAACATAAATTGGTAATTATAAGAAGGAAAACGATTAAGTTATTAAACTTAATTGTCTTTATATTTAATCGAATTAGGTGTTATTTTGCTTGTTATTTTGTTTAATTCCGCTACAATGTGTGAGACTACAAATATTCGGTGTGGAAACCTGACCCGAATATTTGGAGTCTCACACATGTTAATTGTAGCGGAAATAAACAAAATAATATAAATCCATCGAGTAGAGAAATGTACTCCCGCAAAATAACACCTAATTCGAGTAGTGAATTGTGTTTGTACAAATTGCAAATGTAAGTATTAACTTACGTTTGTGAAAATTTGTTGGTAATATGGATTAATTTTATTTATTTATGCCTATTGCATTACTTCAGAATGACCACGCGGTTCGCTTCTAAATTAAATTAATATTCGTAGAAATTTTCCTGAGAAATTCTTAGTAATCCTAGTAAAGTTTCCTGTTAAAGTTGCCTATATTTACTAGTTTTATTCAATTATCATGCATTAAAGAGAAACTTACATGCATATTTATTGTTAAAATCTAGAGTTACGTCTATAGTGTATGAGCATGTTTACATTTAAAAATTTATGTTACGATAGACTATTTAATTAAAAAAATTAAAAAGCACAGTTTTATAGCTTCACAGTTTTTAAATTATGATATATTAGTTTCTTACTTAGTTTAAAAATTCAAAAGCACTGTTCTGAAGCAGTCATAAAAGTCGCCTTTCTCTATTGAAACTGCTTCAATGCAATTTAAATAATACGAAAAAGAAAAAGGTACAACTGCATTTTTTATGTTCTTAATTTGATAGCATTGTCGACGTCTATTGCGTCATGTTATTGACAATAATGCAAAATACAACGAGAATAAATCAGTCAGGTTATAAATATCTATAGATGCTAGAATACTATAAGAACTTGATCTGCTACTCTAAATATAAATATTATAATATATACATTGCTGGTTTAGTGTTATCTATCGAATTAAAACTTATAAACATGCAGCAATGCACATTTGGCGTAATATTTCATACGAACCCGTGTTCTGTGTTATAGTACAGAGGATGCAGTATTTTTCGAAAGCAAGGCCGTTGACGTTATATTGGCAAATGTATTTACGATTTTATTCAGGGCAGTTTCTCTCGATCAGGTGATAACGATACGAAATATCTGGAGCTAGAGATATGCTTGACAATAATGTTTAAGTTTACTACACTATTACCTAATAATGATAGTAATTATAAACTAACTACAACAAGTCTGTGTTCATTAAATGTTACATATCATAGTTTTTGATATTCAGTCAGGTTTTGTTTTGACACTAATAATATCTAAGTATTTTTTTCTATGATTATTCATTTCTGAATTTTTGATATGCATTCATAATAATATTAGCTTGTATCCGCGACTTCATCCGTTGTTTTAGATAAACGATAGCCTTTGTCAGTCTTTTTTTTTTAAATATGATAATGGAATGTTGCATCTGCCTGCGCTAACGGTTTAAGCTGGCGGGGCACCAGTGGAGGATGATAGGATGAACATGAAGTCAGATCAGTTAGCCCAACGTGACAAAGTCACCGGGAATGTATCACGATGGTTTCCAGGGGGAACCGCGTGGAGGTCGATCTGACATGGTACATTGCTATGGGGTCATTAGTCCACATTACTAATAATCTCCTTCTTTCTATATAGTCTTTGTATATATACAATATACTCATGTCTTCAAATTAAAATTGCAAGCTGTTAGTCGTGAAAAGGTAACAAAGAAACAGACATAGACACACTTCCGCATTTAGAATATTAGTACGGATGATAAATATATACCGTTTTATTATACATATATTGCAATTCTGAGTTTTTTTATAACTATTTGGTTTTATATAAATCTTTTACCTATTATTATGCATACTGCATTTTGTTTTATGTAGTATTTATGTTTAAGTATTTGTATAACTTAAATAAATAAACCTGTTTAGTTAATATATGCAAAAATTATATATCCGTTTATTTATATTATTTGTTATATATACTGCTGTATTATTTACCAAATAAATTATTCAAATAAAACCAGCTGGTTTATATTGTTTTTCAGTTTTATTGCGTTTGTATATCACGTAAAATAAAACAGTAAGTACACATACAATTAAATAAACCTTTGAACTTTTACGATTGCATACATACAAGGTTTAAATAACAATTTTAATATTTTTCATAATTTATATACAATTATTAAGAATTATACTTATATAATTTACACTTTGATGGTTTGGTGAGAAATAATGTATGAGAAATTTCTAAGTTGTCTATAAATAAATAGATTTTCCATGACATAAGTACATTAACTCTATTCATAATTCACATTTTTTATGTACTGACGGTCCACTTGCTGATAAGTAGGAACCGTCGACTGTGGACATCGACAGCACGTCATCACAGTGGTGTTACCACTCATGCATTGCCATTCTGGAGAATTAAGATGTCATGCCTCTTAACTCTGCGTTTTTAATTAACAGTAATTAACAGCTGCACCGGACGCTAGCGGGCGAGTACAGATAACACTCCAAACCCACGGAAGGACTTATGGAGCGACTGAAGGCGAACTCCCGCATGACGGAGATGACTTCAGTCTGATGGCATCGTTAGGGATTCGAACCTCGGCTCAGGCTGTCGTAATTTCGATCCCCGTTTGAATTGCACAGGGGATCGATCGGAGGGGATTCACTGCGCTAACCCTCTCTGTATCTTTATACAAAGCAAGCTGCTATGCGGCTGACATAAGTGAGACAGAGGTATATACGCAGACTATTACTTACAAAGTATTAAAAGTTAAATAATCTCAGTATAATAATAAAATCTACTTAATAATAAAAACTTTATACAGAAGTATGATATTCTCATTTTAATATCGACGGCCTGGTTGGTCTAGCGGTTTAGCATGCCAGCTTACGCCGATGGTCGCGTGTTCGATTCCTCGTAGACCACAAATATTATTCTCTTATTCATGACTATAATTGTTTGTATCGGTCTGAGTATTTTCTATGTATAGTATTTATGTATTTCCAAAAATATATGAGTGTATTTGTACCAGCTCTTGCTTAACGCATGGCGCAGTGTGAATTGTCCTGCGATATTATTACTAATATTATTAATTATATAAATTATAAAGCAAAAATTACATTAAATTAATATTAATATAAGGTATACAATATTTATGTTCCATATATCCCTCTGAACCTGGTATCGAGGCTCCCGTACGAGGGTCTGTAGCGAGGAGTTCGTTGGCACCAGGGGCTGCGGCGATTCTTGAAGCTCGAGCAGGCTATGAGACTGTTCATGGCTGGTGGTCGAGACTGTTCTACACTTATGCCGTAACGACGACTGTAATAGAAGAATAGAGGGTATACAACTTTTATTGAAGGCCTACTGTTATTAAAAGTAATCTAAGTTACTCTCTATAACATTAGCTATCTACGAATGAAAGTCCCGTTAAAATCGTCAGAGAAAAACAAGAACAAACAGACAGACAAAAATTTGTAAAATTATTGTTTGATGTAAGTACCATATATACTTTCATATGGATTTAGTTAAAAAAACTGTTAATTTGAAAGTACAAACATACACTACAATATTATTTATTGTGTTACTTACTATTTATTTGTATATTCTTTATTTCGTGTACAATAATATATGACGCTGTGTGTATATGCAATCTTAATGCAGAGGCTCACAGCCTAGCCTTACATCGGTCATACAGTACAATGAAGTCTAATTACATACGATATCACTTATAATCCATATATGTATAGTAGTTCGGAATTAGACGTTAAAATGAAAGCAATACAGTCGATTTCCTAAAATTTGAAAATTTTCACTTCAGGGTTCGTGTATCATTAAAATGATTATTAATACCATTGTCAAGAAGCAAAGAGTTAAAAAAAAACACAATTGAGTACGCTTTTTAAAACATATGTTTGGAATTATGTACTTGTATTATGTATGTTTATGAAGACTTGCAATGATGTGTCCAAATTGACTCATAAGTTTTTTTGTAGTGTTTTACTTGTTGTTATACCCCGACTTAGAAACTCAAAATTCATTGCTTCGATTCTGGCTGCCACCAAAAAATTTTGTAAGTTAATTTTTATGACGACTCACTCTAGTGATGGAGAGGTCTACAACAAACCTAATTACTACTGACGGTACATCATTTTTATAAGCTTTTACAGACTACTACGATTTAGTAGAACGTTCATGTGTATTTTACTCGATAGTAACATTGACGTTAGTAATAACTCTTATAAAAGTAGTAAAGGAACAAACAACGACAGAGAAATGATAATACAGGCTGTTATGATGGAAACTTGAATCTCACCTCTTCACCCTCGGTGGTGGCATATACTTATCTCCAATAAGTACACTCTCGTCCAAGGTGCCGTCGAGTTGAAGAAGATCACCAGCAGACACTGAAACGTCCATCTTGGATGAACGTTCACAAGTCCACAAGAATATCAGGACCATTAACATCTGGAAAACAATAGTATGCCCGATATGTTATATTTATTTATTTGCATCATACTAAGCGAGCTTTACAGTTTACCAATATACCCACTTATAAAGATTGGATACATATGCATATATAATTAGTATATATAATATATTCTTTATTGTACATTTTTTATTACAATATTTCAAATACATATTAGAAAATTTGTTACTACTCGACCACCCGAAATCGATCGTGAATACAGTTGAGCAACTAAAAATGTTTGTCTATTAGCACGTTTTCACTAAATTGAATGAGTATAAGTTAGACGAGGATTGCGGTCGTTTGCTCTAAATACACGTCAAGGTAGCCTTATTTTTCCAGACCTTGCATGGGTCTTACAATTCATTGTTTTAATGTGGCTGCTGCTAGATCTAACTTCCAAATGTTTCATTAATGTTAAAGTATAGAGAAATTAGCTGTTACTCAACTTCGCAGCTTTCATTTTGAGGTATCATGAGCACATGTCTATCGAGCATCTTTAGCTCGATAGACATGTGCTCATGATATATCCGTTCAGCTATTATTTGTGAAAAGTAAGAGATGTATATTTTCTTTTTTATACGTAAAAACGCCGTTTTATTTTAAATGTACCTGCGAAATACTTTGAAAGTCTTTTGTTTCGTGCAGCATATTATAAAGACAAAGCTATACGTGATATGCTATTGTTAATTACTCTTTACATATTTTTATTGATGAATTTTACATGCCTTCATGGCAGAATATTATGGGAATTTATTAAACCTGGTTACAGAAACTTAATCAACTACATAATACGATATTATTGTACTGTAACCTAGGTGTATCCTGTGCTGCCCCACAAAATATAGCGTATATATAGTAATGATTTAGTAATGTATCTATCACGTGAAGGATTAAATCAATACCATAACAAATGTTTAACTATCAGTTGAGTTTCTTATCAGTTCTTCTAATCCGAAGTAGATAGAACAACTGGATGGTGCTAAAAAGTTACGTCCATAAGCAACTGAAAGTATTCTATGCAAATAATATATTTTTAAGTGTGAATTTATCCACTGCAAACAAAATCAAGTCTTTCCTATTTGTATTTTAAGTTTAGATTGCTGGTGCAATAATTACCACTAGTAAATGTAACAGGAATATGAAAACTGTCGAGTTTGGAAATCCGATAGAGTCGAACAGCACTCCGGAGACGGTGGGGCCGATGAATGCGCCGAGAGCAAACGTGGAGGTCCACATGGCCGACACGAGGCCATACGTCTCAATGGTGTTTGGTAATCCACTCGCACTGGAAAATTAATTCTAACATTTATTTATAGCATAGAGGACAAACGAGCCTGCGGCGCACTTGATGGTTAGGGTTACCGCCTCCCTTGAGCACCCGTAACGCAAAGAGAATTGCAAGTGCGTTGCCGTCCTTTTAAGAAGGAATAAGCTCTTTTCTTCAATTATAATATAATACATGATAATATACACAGAGCCATTTAGTTCTAAGATAACCAGTGTGTTATGGATACTAAACAGCTTATAAATACTTGTACATATTTTTTTCTATATATATGTATTGACCGAAACTGCATATAGTCATAATCTTATGAAATTTGGCAGAAATTTAATGTGAATATTGTAAAATTGTACCTACATCCGCAGAAAGTATATTATAATTCGATTAGTGCATGGTGAAGTAAACTACGTCAGTGCATCAGTATGTGGCTGGAGAAGGTAATTTACAGAGCTGAACGTAATAAGTAATGTGCCCGCTGAGTCATTTTACATTGAATTTTAATAGAACGGATAGAATGTTGTCTTTATCTGTAGGTAGGTAATTTATAAGTTATCCTATCTGGAAAGCGCATATATATTTTTATGATTTTCTAATGAAAATATAAATAATAAAAATACAGTAGTTAATTTGTTTTGATTAAAAAAGAAATCATACAAAACGGGTCAGTTTTGACTAGTAGTTAGATTTGACTATAATGTTTGGATTAAAAGAGAATCATAAAAAGCGGTTCAGATGTTCAGATACAAACAATTATACTCATGAATACAAATGTGGATAGGAACCGAACCAGGGACTATCGGAATTACCGCTAGACCACCAAGGCCGTCAAATGTGCATAATGTATGAAATTGTGCACTGTATTATGCAGGGACTTATGTATAAAAAGGATGTTAAACTGTAACACTTACATGGCAGTACTAAGTGCATCTGAGAATGATGCGACCAGCTGGCTGCCCATGCCAAACCCGTGCAGCACCAAACCCAGCACTATCACCCACGTCACCCTGCAAACATATTAATTAAATTACTTGATAACTAACTTTACTGATTAAGACTAAACAATGTATATTTATATACTGTTTTGTTACAATATTATTATTATTTTATATTTGTATAATATCTGTTTTATTTATTGTTCCTTAATTATAATTTGTATGCCTCCGTACTGTAGGCCTAACTGAAAAGCTGCGCTGGAAATATTTCCAGTACTATGCTGAGTTGTGTTCATCATTGACTGTTTTATTATGTGTGTAATTTATTGTTTCTATTTTATTTGTCACTGTTGTTGTGTCCAGACAAGTCAAAAAAATCTATTCTATGTTTATTTTAAACAAGTATCTTTTTGATGTAAGAGACTTACATATGAAGGTATACTCTATGCATTTAATAAAGCTATTAATTTGAAATAGCAAGCATACACTTCAATTTTATATATTTTTTTACAGCTTCACCGGTCGATGGGAGGCTAGTGTAAATGGCACTCCAAACCGGAGGAAGGACTCATGGAGGGGCTGAAGGCCAACTTTAGTCTGAGGGCACCGCTAGGGGTACGATCCTCGGCCGAGCGACGTAATTTCGATCCTCGTTTGAATTGGACGGAGGATTGATCGGGGGGGGACAATTTTATATATATAGTATAGATATTAATATACTCACGTTGGTAAGTTTAGGAAGGGCACAGGTCCGATGAGCAGGAACCCAGCGGATATGAACATACAGCCGATGACGGTGACGTATTTCTGTTTCATTTGCGGCCTATCACACAGCCAGCCCCATCCTGGCGCAGACGCAGCGTACACACCCCCGTTGATCACGAACATCAGACCCAATACCACGGGAGAGAATTGGAACTGAAAAATAACGGCTTTTGTAAAGTAACGTTTAACTTCAAACATTCTTTTTTAGTCGTGCACTCTTGATAGAGTGGTCGTGGATTTCATGATGATATCAGTGAATTCTCTTTATTGTTTTGTGCTAGAGCTCTTCGTACTTTGTCTCCATTTAGTCATGTTTTTGGCTGTACAAGAACATTGTGCTACTGTATAGTGGTTTTTCGAACGTATTTTATGGAGTTAGGTGTTATCTTGAGCAAATCCATTTTATATGATAGATATGTACAAGCAAGGCTATTTGTTTATATTTAAAAAAATGTCTACCTGACGTAAATGTGGTTCTAAAGTTGCCTGGAGAAAACTAATGCTCAAACTTGTGCTCATGATGCTTATTGCTGCCAATAAAACACCAGGAATCCGAAGTAGCGTTAGCATAGTCGCTGTAAAGAAACAGACATAATTAAAGTATTTGGGTATAGCACTGTACGAATATTACGTAAAATTTGAAACCTTTAATTTTATACTAGAACTAGAGATTGCATAAGTATTTTGTTACGTAAAATATACAATCTCTGCTATATACTATATCATATTATTTTAGTAATCCGTTGATTTTACTAACATCTCAGACTGAAAAAAAACACAACTGTAAAAATCTTTAAAATAGTGTCCAGTTAAAATTGTATATGAATGGAAAATACTCACGACCAGTAGGCTTCACATCTTCATCGTCATGTGTCTTCGGCAGCACCACGCAGCTCATAACTGCAGCACAGAACAGAGCGGAGCCGAGTACAGCAAACGGTAGCGTGTAGCCACCCAAACTATACAGCGTCCCGCCCAACATTGGCCCTACTATTAGGCCAAGTCCGAAGAATGTTTCTAAAGAGGCCTGGGAACAATAAGCAATAAATATGAACATTTTGTTTTATTAAATAAAACTGACTTCGGCCATAGGTATATATGGAATAACATAGGATAAGTATTATTATTTGCTGTGCAATTAGCAAGAGTCTAAATTTAATCCGAAATTCCCCTTTAATCTGGTTCAAGATATCCCCAAAATTTGTTTTCATTGCCAAAGAGTTTCCACAAAATTTAGAGATAAGACCCACTATCTGGGATCATAGCATTGCATTAACTGGTGAGTAAACTATTCCGATAAAAAATGAATAATGTCAATTAGTACACAATATAATGTTTTTTTCACGTGGGAAGCTATGTTAGCTAAATCTTCTTATGAGGAAAGACTTACATATATTTGTGAGACGGCAATAGTTATATACACTATGATAATGCAGATTAGTGATTGATTGCTTCATCTGTTATTAATAATGCTCTACCCTCATAACGCCTGTAATAATGAGTATAGCAAAATTGAAGCCTGACGCCTTAGCAGAGAGGCAACTATCGATCGCCTTAGGTAACTATATCTCATCGATGTAGATAAATAAAACGAGTAGTTTCCGTATAACTTTAAATAGCAACATGTGTGGCATTACTCAATAGTTTAATCTATACTAATAAAAATATAAAATAAACATATAGAAATGGTTCATTACTTTGTTTGTTTTCATTGACCTCTCTGTAAAATTAATAATCAATTAACAATAAAAATGTAGTGATTATAATTGTTTCTTATATTATTAGAAATATATTGTGCTTTTTTTATAAAATTATTATAAATAATAAATTATGAAAATAAAATGAGATGAAGGTTAAGTAGTGTTCCACATGAACGAAATTATTTGTAGTTTTAATTTTATGATTTCGAAGTAACTCTTCATCATTATGAAACGACTATTACCAGTAAATGAACATTAGTTTAAGGAAAGAAAATAAATAAAATGTAAGTACATTCATTTGGTTATAGTTTGTATGGAGCGTGATCTGTAGGTTGCTGGTAAAATATTATAAACACCTTTGCTAGAGTAAACTTATTATATTCAAATAACTTACAAATTACACTAAGCAACGTATCATATCATAGACTTAAAATCCTTACTTAGTGAAAACAACTCTTTCTGTCTGTCTCGCTTTCATGCCAAAACTACTGAACCGACTATTTAAATGAAATTTTATATACATATAGTCTAAAGAACATAGGCTACTTCTTGAAGCGAAAAAAAGAGATTGAAAGGGGACATATTATATGGGTATGAGCTAAAAAAATATGGGATGTAAGTTTGTATGGAAATTTGTCATTCTTTAGCTAAAACAATGAAACTTTTTTCTTTGGATTTTTTGGGTTGGATTATTAAATATTTTTTTATGTAGGTATTTAGCCAAAGTTGGCGGACGAGGTTGCGGGCACAGCTAGTATAAAATAATTATTTCTTGCTAGCAACAAAGAAAATTAGGGTAGAAACTATTGTTGGTCAAGTGACCAACAATAGTTTCTACCCTAATTTTCTACAATAGACTGATAGATATATTTATTAATATAGGGAGGACATTTAAGACAAGTTTTGTACATGCCATCCTTCCTGTCACATGTCACGACTCCGGATTCTCGACCTGTTTGGCCTCGCTTGTCGATAACTTCGCCTCGAAAATGATAATAACCGTATGATATCAAACAAAATAAGTAAGTATATTGAACGAATATTTTTTATAATGTCGCATGTGTAGTCATTAATTAATGATCTAGTTATTCATGTAAATGAGGCTATAAAATTAGAATTGATAGTAATTGTGCGTATAAGTATAGGTTATTAACAATTCAGGTCGCAATTTAGCTATATTTATCTATTTGTAGAGGTTTTGAAATAACTTCAGAAATAAAAGAAGCTTTTATATTCAAATTGTTTCGTTGCTTGCCCGTAGTTTATATACCAATACTAGCTGACCCCTCAAATGTTGTTTTGCCATATAAATTGAAATCGCTATTAAAACAATAGAGGTTGACGTTAGAAGAGTGAAAATTTAGGATTGTTTGTAATTTAATACCACATTATAAAATAATAAAAACTAAATTGTGTTCAAACAATAAAACAAAATATTAGGGGTGGACAACTCTTATCAGTTAGGGGTAAGGAAAATAGATATTTCTCAGATTCTCAAATCTACTGAATATGCATATAAAATTTCATAAAAATCGTTCATGCCGTTTCGTAGCAGTATGGAAACTAAGATTGTGATACAAGAATTTTATATAGGTATCTAAGATTATAAGGCAAAGTTTGTGAGTTTGTGAGGATATAGGTCTCATCTCTTAGTATTCTATAAAATTACCGGAATACAAACCAAACACATCTTATAAAGCAAGTTGTTTGGTTGTAGAAATAGGTAAGACAGAGTTATTCCGGCAGAACACTTTGTACAGTCTTTCGAGAAGGTTATAGGCCAATACAGTCAATGTACTGGGAACTCCGTGCGCCGGCTACCATTTAGTAGGTAATTTATATCTAATATCTCATTCATCAAACATCATATTAGTGTAAAAAAGTAATCTCAAAGGATCAACGAACGTTAACGAACTCAAAGAACGTTAGTATTTATGTATGATTTTTTTATTTCTTTTTAAATGTACATGTCAGTCCTACACTGGTGAGGTAATGGAGTGATTAGTTTTAGGGTACATTGGGACTTGGGAGTACTCCCAGCGAATAAATAGCCTTAGCCGCACCGTCCGAAGGATCGGCTAAAATGTGTGTTTTGTAACGAATAAACTCAAACAGAACTGATTTCAGTAATTATATTACTATTAGAATGCATTATTATCCTTTCCTATCGTTATTGCTAGAAAAAATTAGGACCCTTAACAAAATTTTGAATAATGTAGCCCCAGATTTAAAAAAAAAAACATTTTTTTGATTACTCCCCATAGTCGCTGCGTAGATATACACCGGTACGAAGTCGGGACAAGTCCCTAGTTAATTGCTGCCTTTAGACGACATATTCTTTAGCGCGGGAAAACCTGCACGCGCAATCGTGTGTGATTGAATTTTATCTGATTACTATTCTGCACGTAATTGTGTAGATATGAAGTAGTTTCACTTTCTTTTAAAATTTTATTTTTTATTCCAATAATATTATTTTTCAAATACAATTTCTTTCCTGCCTGAAAGCCGAGTCCCGCGTGAAAGAGTAAAGGCAGCTTATGTATAAAATCGCTCATAAAATAATTCTAATATAATTAATTACTCACAAACATGCTGGCAACATTGTTGGGGAACTCCTTGGCGATGATAGCGAAAGATGCAGTCAGAAAGGCGGCGTTGCCCATGGCTTCCACGATACGAATTATAAAGCTGAGTGTTATGAACGGTACGTGACCTTCGACCTTATCCAGGAGCCTGTAAACATACAAAACATAATTTATATAACAATACTTTAGGTTGGAAATACTTGCACTATAAAAATTAAGTAAACAGTTACGTATTTGAACTAAATTTATATACTAAATACACGGAGATTAATACAATTTTTTTATGGGTGATAATGGAACGGTATTTCCGCCTCCGCTAACGCTTTGGGCTGGTGCGGCACGAGTTGAGGATGATAAGATGAGCATGGGGTCAGGTCAGTTAGCCCAGAGCGATTAGCTCAAATTCGCCAGAATTTTATCATAATGTTTTCTAGGGGAAAACGGGTGGTGGATAAACTGACATGGTACATTCCTTGCAATGTTAATAGTCCACATTACTAGTACTATGGGAACCAGTGGAGGTTGATAAGATGGGATGAGGTCAGGTTAGTTAGGCCATCATGATGAAATCACCAGGTTGATACAGAATGAGCTAGATGCTCATGCCGTTCTATTAAACAGATGTTGATTAACTCACCATTTTAAGATTTCTTGTGAATACAAGCTACCAAATAGCACTAAATCACAACAGTAAAATATTAAACCAAAAGTTACTTAAATAAATAAAATAAATCATTGTGTTGTAGTAAATCAGTGATCAAAGCCAGTCAACCAGATGGAGGCAAATGAAAAGAATCATAAACACAAGTTGCAGTTCATTATTATAGCTATATTTATTTTGCAGGCGCTTTTTTTTAATTGAAATCAATTTAAAAAAATGTTTCACTATTTGTTATTATTAATAATATATTATATTTAATCGGGGATTGAGTCTTAAATAAAGTATATAACATAACCATAGTTGGATGGAAAGGGAGAGGACGACTGAAAAAAGGATGGTTTGTGTGACAGATGATATATTTTATTATATAAAAGGAGAGTAGAATAACAAATAGTACATTAAAGCCAAGGCAATGATGATTTTATTTAATCGGATGTGAACAGAACAGATAGTCTGTACGTCTGTTTGCTCCTATTACTATAAATTTGATAATAGAGATAAATTAACATATCTGTAATGACTTTCTAACTTACTTACCTACCATTTTTTTTTAACTAGCTATCTCCTCATCATATGGGTATGTGATTACGTGGCACCACCCATATGTTACTATTGGCTGGTTACAACCTTTATTCGATAGAGGTACTCACGCAGACCATTTTATACAGTTTACCTCGGGAAAAGACTCTACATGCAATAAATAGTTATTATTATTACTTACCCAAACAGTATGGCACAAGTCCCAGTAGTAAGTATGCCTCCATTGAAAAGTACTTTTGGCCCAAACTTGTTCAGGTGCGCCCCATAAAAGGGACTCACTATAAACACCACTAATTCAAATATACCGAACACTAAACCATATTCAGTTGCCGTGCAACCCTTCTTCTCTGCCTGAAAAAAGGATATTATATTATATAACACCTAAGTATTATCTGCGTCTGCATTTTTGCATATAAAGGATCTGTCTGTCCTTGTGATACATACTATCTGCAGTAGTTTTCCTTTCAGCTATTTAGTCGTGAAAAAAATAATAATAGGCAGACGTACTATCGCATTTATAAGATGTACCTATTTTATAGAAACGACTCTCACTTGCCATTTAATTAAAAAAAAAATGCACTTCTTTTTATACAACACTCACACATTTTTTTCAGCTGCTAAAAGCCCATAAACTGTATATCAATCAAATTTAATAAGCATTTTTAAGTAATCTTTTTAATTTTAAATACATATATAACAATTCGCTGCAATAAGACTCTTCTTCTCTATCTTAGCCAAAAGTAGATAAATATGAATGGTAATTTTGCAATCTGGATTCATGTAAAAAAGTGTCTGGTTTTTAGTAAAAATAAATATGTATGTATTATTAAGTGAAAAGTGGAACTATAACTTTGTTAGTATAAACAACTTTTCAAAATAACAGATTAGTTGTAAAAAAGTAATTTAATTTTATTAAAAAATATACATATTTTTAATATAATATAAAAAGAATTTCAATTAATCTTAAAGATTATGGCTTGTAAAACTCATATTTCGTATTATGTGCTTTATAAAATAAATATTTTTATTTATCGGTTTGAGTCGGGACTAAATTTATTTGAGCTAAGTGGAGCGCAGCCTTATCTACGGAAGAAACTCATTAAAACACATAAAAATATTACAAAGCCATTTTGCGTTTTCATTTTTAAACTTCACATTCGTTAATATATTATGCAAGAAATATATAAAAAGCTTTTGTCTGAATTTCTTAATTCTGAAATGAGTACTCTTTTGAATGTGACATAGATAATTTTAATCGGGTTATCATTTACGACAGTTTAGCGATGGGTGATTTGGTGTCGACCTCGTCGCCTATCACAGGCCTCCGTTCAATTCCGCAGTAGCTTTGAAGAAAAGATTTTTACCTATCGGTAAGTCTTAATAAGTCCTTGATAAATCTTTGGGAATTCTAGAATTTTTCAGAATATTTTTTATGTAATTAGAATAGCAAATAACCGCATCATGCCGTATGCCGTGTATGTTTCTTTCCAACTATTCTAATTCTGTTGGCTGCATCTTGCCTTTACAGCTTCATTGAACAATAAAGGGCAACAGTAGTGATACTCTAAATCCGCGGAAGAATTTATGGAGCGAAAGTCAACTCCTGTCTGACGAGTACGACTTTAGATTCACGCCAACACCAGGAGACCTAACCTTGGCTCAGGCCGTCGTAATTTCAACTCCGGGGATTGATTAAAGGGGTGCTGTGGCAAGTCTCTTTATACGTCGTCATTCTTATATTACTTATTCGTATTCTTTATTAAGACATGCAACCTGCATGTCTCAATAACTAATTAAAGTCAATGAATTTTTGTCCATAGGATAATGCAACTAATATCAACGTTTCACTAAGTTTTGCTATATGTTCTAAAGTTCGCCTCTGCTGAATTTATGCACTGCATTCGTAAACTTTTAGCATATACTATGTATAAGATACCTTTTATAAATAGTTTACAAATAGTTGGTAACAGTAGCGAAGGAAATTAAATTTTCGAAATCCAGAATATCTTCATTTCGGAGTGTTACTTAGCATCTGGATTGTTTAAGTCAGATCGGATGCAGAATGGTGGTGAAAATAGTGTTGTTAGAAATCGGTTAGATTGGATACATCCGATAGATCGGCCCCAACTGAAACAATCCACGTTTGTTAAGTAGCCATTATTATAACTACTTAACAGCTATGGCTCTAGAGTCCTTAATTCCAGAATTTTCTAGATCTTTAGTATTCTCGGATTCCGATTGACTAACGAATTGTAACATATGTTTTTTGTAACAGGGGTGTAAGTGTTGTGAAATTAATAATCAGTGATAATTATACCAGGCGAAATTCACATATTTAAAATTTTGTGTAATGTGAAAGTTTCTATGTTTATTTTATTATTAAAGACTGTACCTGTGTGTGTGTGTCAGACGCTTGGAAGCATTTTTAGTTAATATTATATATTTTTTTATTTAAAAAATGTCATATTGCACTTTTTATACTTTACCCGCATAATTTTTAAAAACGGTTTCATACTTACTTTTTATTTCACGTATTATATATGTCAAAAATTATTACTTTCCGTATTTAAGTTCAAAATTCAAGAGTAAACTAAAAAAAGTAATGAAATTACAGGTGTGGAATTCACTTTCAAATTCAACAAGTTTTAAATGCAACTAATGCGCAAGTTGATTTAGTCTAGGATTATCTTAGATAAGACGGTCTAGTAAAACTTTCGATGTTCATCTGTTTGTCTATTCGTCTTACTGCTAGTTTGTGCTAGTTTGTTACAAATACTCACTTACCTCTAATGGATAAAATGGCGCTTGCAACGCAACGCAAATAGCATTGCAGAAGTCAGCTATAGATATAACAATTATGGTTAACCACTGTCTCCTTGAAAAATCAAAACCCATTTTCAACTAAATAAATTAACACTGAATAACTATTACAAATAATGTCTCAATGTCAATGATTTATTTTATAGATATATGCCTTAGGACCATACTGTTATTTAAAAGCATTTATGTTTTTGTCGCACGCACTAATTTCACTGTGAAAAAAAAGTCCTACTTAGTATACCGAAGGTGGAAGACACACTGAGCATACGACTACAATCTGGATGGAGTAAGTTATTACATTAAAAACGATAAATCAGTCAAGCTTATTATCACGTGAACTTTAAACTTTATAGTTCGAATTGTTACATATTACGCATCTAAATAAACAAACCAATTCTTTGTTACCAACATAACCGTCAATGTACGTTCAAATTGTCGATGCAGAAAGCATCTATCGATTGTCGACGAAGTAATGACCGCTAACAGTACAAACAACAGGCGTAGTAAAATGTGGACATGTGATAAAAACGCAATTATTACTGTTTGTAAGTGATTTAATAATTATTTAAATAAATATTGATATACTATTTGCTGTGCTTCGAAAACAACACGTGAATTTTTACTACCATCTTCGAAAAATAAAGATTCTGAATTCAAATGTATTATTGCGTTTGTTACGCGAATTGTGAACCTACTATGCCTAATACCCAATTGAGAACGGATTATGCACTAACTTTTAAATTCATGACGATTGTAACTACCAAATCTTATAACAAACACAATATAAGATGACCCCTCGCTACCATTTTAAGAACATTAATTACAAGAGGTAAATTCTACTTCTTGCAATTTAATTTGCATTTATGTATCTCATTTCTAGTCTCCGCATTTAGTCTGCTCCCTGTCCGTTGTGTGTAGAGCCTGAATATTAAAGTAGATTGCGAAGGTTCTCTCGAGAAGGTGGTATCTTCAAAGGCTCCACGGAGCTCCTCACCTATCCGAGGACACGTTATATAGTCATGGCTATGCATTCCAGGGTTACGTGAGCAGCCATTTCTTCGGTTTCAAAGCAGCTCCGACAAAGAAAGCTGTAGCACCTATTGTATACAAGTATTTGTTTATGGGACAGGATCATTATCTTATTTATTCCCTATTACTAACAAAACTCCCTAGATAGATTATAATGACGAGAAATACGTTCTAATTCTTTCACGGGAACGTTTTTGTATGAATCCATCCAATGTCCATGTATTGCATTGAAATGACCTGCCTGATTAGAGCACAGGGAATAATCCTCGCCAAGGAAGGGTATTGTTCCGCCAGCGTGTACTATACTCTGGCTGAAAAGTTCTACAATTGTTAAGATAGTTATAATATGAAACCTAGTGAATCTCAGCTGCAGTTGCAAGGATGGATTGAGGAGATGAACATTTCAATTTTTGTATCAGTAGCATTACAGCAGTAGACGACTCTTATAAAATGAAAATTTTAAATAAGAATTGAAATGTACCTTAAGATTGCAGTAAATAAGGTTTATTTATATAAAATAATATAAATGTTTAAACGGCCTTACTCTTTAACCCACCCTCGGAACCAAACTTAGAATTTTGTCAATTTCAATTATCTTGACCCGCTTGGAAGTTTTCGATCGGGACACATGGTCACTTCAAGCTGTTTCTGCTTAATGTACCACCATAGCAATACAATCTCTCAAAATACTTAGGGCTTTAGATGAGAGTCAGAAGTACTTGTGACAGCAACGAACCGAGTATGTACTTCCTTTTGGTTAAAATCTTGTTATAGAACTGGTTTTGCTAATTACAACTATGTGGAACTCCTTCCGTATACGTTGGTTCTGTGACATAGTTACAGTAATAATACGGGCATGATGACTGCTGTGTGCAATCGAAATGTTTCGAAAGAACCGCAGTTAATATGAACTCTCCACTTATATTTACAGGGGCACTGTCTTATTATGTTTATGATGTTGACTTATTAAATGTTTATTTGTAATGGTTGGTAACACTGATAATTCAAATTTAAATAGCTTTACAAAACATACATATGTAGTTTCATTGTGTTCCATTATTCAGTAATTAAATGTAACAGGGGCAGTGTTGTCAACAATACAAAAACTGAGAATAGCATGACCATAAAAAATGTATAAGGAAATTAGTAGCATAAAATTAAAATACAAATTTATTTAAATGTATACCTAGGTTATTACAGTAGAATAGATATAAAAGAATATAAATTAATAATTTACATACATAAGTCTGATGTATACAATCCAATGTTATAGATGCAATAGTTTTTACATGTAGATCATATTATTCTATACATTTGGCGAACTTAATAATACTTTACTTTTTGTACCCGTTAAAATTATGTCAAAACGTTTCTGTTATGATAATTATTTTTACACAATTAGCTATTATAATAAAATAATAAACGTGGGAAAATATTACAGCACTACTAGTTCCATGTTGAACAGAGCTTGTGTAATAGGTACTAAACAACTGTAGAAATGTTTAAATATATACATATTACATATACACAGAAAACACTCGTTTCAATATACTTATGAATACAAAAGTTTGCTTCGTGCGAGGAATCGATCCTGCGACCATCGGAAGGTGGTGTGCTAAACCGCTAGAACATCAAGACTGGCTAAAATATTTAAAAGTATCGATACGGCTTCCTATTCCCCACAATGCAAATATGTGTATTCATGTATGTGTACATATATGAATTATATGTAAATACAAATAGAAACAAACATACTTGTGAATATTAAATGTGATTGTGTAGATCTCGTGAATATACAAAAACATTATATTTAGAAATACAAAAGAACAATATCGTTATTAGTATTTCAGGATTTTATTTTTCGTTATTTGTTATACGCTAATATTTGATAACGCAGAACCATGATCAATATCCTTCTCACATATCTTTCGAAAATGAAACTAAAACAAGCATACAACATAGTACAGAATAAAAGTAAAATGATAGCTGATGTTAAAAACAATTCTAATTCAAAGAATTCGGCATTTGACATATTAACGGCCGGAGCCCGTAGGTGGTGCGCTCCGCCATGTCGTATTAGGTAATAATAATGGGCCCAGTGGATTGCGCGGTCCATAGGACTCTGAGGTGTATCCAGTAGAATTGTTCGTAGTTTTATTATATTTTGGCGAAAGCTGGAAAATAATTACAAATTTCTTATACTACTCCCATTTCTTGCACGTTACTTAGTCTGTTTAAATTAGATCTTACACTTTATCTGAGTTTTTTGATGGATGATAATGAAATAGTATTATTTGCTCGGCTGGAATAAAGAAAGGTTGAAGGATGTTGTTACATGTTGAGACTGGAGTACCCGTTTCACACAGACGCCTATTTACAAAACCTACCTCGAGTATATTGGAGATTAGACTGGCTTTATAATCTTTTAGACTCATACTATTTGATTCTCACCTCATATCATTAATCACTGTATTTATGGCATTACTAATTTGCTCCTCTGTTATTTCTTCTATATCAAGTTTTACTCCTATTCCATGATGAACATATTTTTCAACATTAGCCCATTGATCCCACATCAAAGGTATTCCTATGAGCGGTACACCAGCGCCGATAGCTTCATCAGTCGATTGTTTGCCTCCTTGTGTTATAAACGCTTTTACTTTGGGGTGCTCTGTAACATATAACACTACAAAATAAAAACATGATAATCAGTAACTTTGTAATAGTTATAAAATAACAAATGAATTGCCGAGCTTATTTCTTCTTCCAGAAAGGTTTAAGGTACGCTTATATTTGTATAATATAGTAGTATATGTACAATATATGTATTTTAAACAACGCAATATTTTGTATGCTTATCTGCAGTTTTAACAGAAAATTTTCTAGCGAGTTTTATTTATTATTTATATATGAAAAAAACATTAATATAAAACTAATGTTTCTATCACTTCAGGTTATGTACAGCATAAATCTGTTTATTAGTAAGTCAGTGTTTTGATGAGACAATCAAATAATAAACATACTGTGTAAGATAATTATGATTACCAATAACTTACTCAGAAGATCAGCCTGTGGAAACCATTTAGCTATTTTAACATTATTTGGCTTGTTTTCTAATTCGTCTTCATGCCACTTGAAAAGGACATCGTATGGTAGCTGGGATAACGCCTTCATTAACGTTTGTACTTTCCCTGAATATTGAGATACGTACGCTGTTGTTCCAAATGATACATATCTAACTCCATTGACTGATGCTTCCAAGTAAGAAAGGAGATCCTTAAAATATATTTAATTAGGTCAACAGAAAGCAGCAAAGAATTGACAAATAACTCTCTTGTATGTTGTTTTATATTAATTTTGTTTTTTATTATTAGAATTTAACTAATATGTCAGATGTTATCATTATTTCTATTTTATCTTTTAAATATGTAAATTCATCTTAAATTTTATTTATTTCCATACAGATTTGTTAATATACATACCATTTCAAAGGATTTTTATAAGCGTGACGGCACGTAGCTTTCTTGTTATGTTTTTTTAATTTCTAGATATGTTAAGGGTATCATAAGGGTTAATTTAAAACTTACCTTCGTCAGTTCTTTGGACGTTTTCAAATGTATTCCAAAAGTATAGACTACAGAAGGCGGTACTGGACGAATGGTGTCCCAGACCGGATGCGTGTTCACATACGTCAAGTGAATATTGTTCTGTAAGATATCAATGCTCGGGGTGGAATTTAATACACTGCTTTTCATTGCTTCGTTAAAATCTGGATACATCTGGTCAAGGAACATTTTTTCTATATGATAGTTTCTATACAATTCTGTTAATTTTTCCGTAAATGTAAGATTATAAATTCTTTTGTTTGCAGCTTGTGGATATAAAAGTGGTTGCATAGGAGCTCCAGTGTTTTCCAAATCCCCAATCGTGGGGTCAAATGAGCTCATTTCTATCACCGGTACCTTGTAGTAGTCTGACATCATTAAAGCCATTCTTGATCTTGATTCCAGAACCATTAAATCAAATGTTATATTTTTGTTTTCAATGAGTTCTATCACATTCTTCGTTTGAAATTGTGTTTTCATTAATTTGACAAATAATTTTGAAGTTTTACTCAGACATGATAAAAAGTCGTCGGTTATTATTTTTGACATTTCTTCATTCCATAGATTGTGAGATATTTCCCGTACATCGATTTGCGTGAGATTTATTGGCATTTGTTCTTCACGATAGGCTGGCTGGGTAGTAATGGTAACAACTTGATGACCTTGATCGAGTAAGGCGTCCACAAAACATTTATAAACCTGATGGTGACTATACGATATATGTGGAAACACCGACAATATTTTTGCACTATATATTAATTTTGATTTTAAGATAAAACAGAGCAATAACAGGAGGCGGTATAACATTTTTTTTAAACTTTATAAAATGGTAATTATTTAAATGTGCCGTGGATATTCTTCACCAATAGATATATATTTTGCGCTAGTTCTTCTTATCAATACAGTTGTGCAAATAAATGTAGATACTCGTATGTAATGTAATATATTTTGTTTTTACAAGTAATATAGTACATAACAACTTGGGTTATTCTTCGATTTCGATTGATCTTGCGTATAAAATAAATATAATTGTAGAATTAATAATCAATTATATTTTATTTGTCAATGATATCTATATATATCTATATCTAATTATACTTCCATCAATAGAATTTATCCGTGCTAAAGCAACAAACATTTTTACAATAATTCGTTTATATGTAACCTTAATAGTAATCACCCGTTTACATAATCATTACATGGAGTATAATGTATAATCATTTGATTTGTTTAAATCAAAGATCAATATAATAAATTAAACTTGTTTAAAGAAATATAATATGTAAAAGATATTCTGTACAGTGGCCATGGGTACTTTTTATTTGTCATATATCTATTTTGTAATACGTCTCCTAATATAGTCGTCGTTCAAGTATCGTGGGCGTCAATTGCTAAAGGTATCTATAAAAAATAATTACAATATTAAATATTTTTTTTATAAACGAAATGTTAATATGTACTATATCGAACATACAACAGCATGTAAGTATTAAATAGTATTAAGTAATCATATCAACAAAATCTTCAAGTTAATAATAATAAAATCCCTGGACAATTCACACAAAGCTAGTCAGAAGCTAAGCACCGCTTATGTTGTATATAAATACTTGATACATTTTTTTGTAAGTAAATACATAATAAACACAGAAAACACACAGATTGATACAAACAAATACTCATGAATACTAATGTCTGTACCGTGCTAGATATGGAACTCGCGCCTATTGGAAGTAAAATGGTGTGCTTAACCGCTAGTGCAGCGACGCCCATCTAGACAACTGATAAATAAAAAAAACGTACATGTGAAAATATGAATCAGTTAACCATTAAATTAATTACATCACTACTGCCAACTTTATTTATTTATGTGAACTTTAATGCACAAATATAATATATAAATGTACATATGGCGAACTTAACACCTAAGGGCGTTCTCTACCAGTCAACCATAAGGTAAACCGAGAAGTTAGTAAGCGGCGCATTATAGCTTACAAACACTTACGTAGAAACTTTACAATAATGCATATTATTAGACATACATATTTACATATGACACATAAATATATATAATATATATATATACATACTTGGATTACATATTTAGATACAGGAAAATTACCCATGTATGAGGCAGAAGATAAGTTAAATAGAGCGGAAAAGAAAGAAATAAACAAGGAGAATCAGAAACTTTAGTGATTTGCTTTTTTTCATGGTAAGTCACAATATGAGTGGGTACATTTTTGTTTCTGAATATTTCCACATTTGGATATTTCGAGATCAAATTCCGGTCCACATTTTACGACTTAAACGTAACTACGTATCTTATCACCCCTCGGTTTCAATTATATTAAGAATTGTTTGTGACAATTTCGGCGTTAATTGCCTTCATTTTTGCATACATATATGATGTCGAAAATATCATTACTATATCAGTACGTTACATTAACGCAAAATAATAAGTGATAATGTTAATTACTTAAAGTAACTTTTAGTTAGCAACATAGTGTTGATGTTTTATTTGTTAGGCAGATGCGTATAAATGTGAATGGTTATAGGGGCAGAGGAAAGCCGAAAAAGTGATAGATGAACTCCACGAACCCGATAATCTGGCCGAATATGTCCGTTGTACTGGCCGAATCTACAGGGAATCTGGTGAAAAGCACGCATTTTCTTGACACCTACAAATTATTGTCTACTCTCTTGTCTCTTGAAACATGGACGTCTTCGGTGCCGGGTGGCACTCCTTCTTCAGCGGCTTTTTGTCTTATTGAACGCGTGCCACCTTTAGTGCACTGGTAGATGAATGGACTGTATGAAAGATGTTATAGCAAGAAAGGGAAAAAAGGGATCAGGTATGAATCGATGAGAAAAACATATTACGCCGATCCTAAATGAATGGCATAAGGAAAAAGCATAAGATAACGGGCTATTTTCAGGTTATCCTCGGGCGAATACATTTAATAATTTTATTATAAACAAACTTAATTTTATTTCTCTAGACGTTTCGGCTAGGTTGTATTATCCGTCATCACAACCTGACTGAAGTAATTTTAGGTGCCTCGCAGTTTGTTCTACTGTCGTTCTATTGTCACTACCGTCACTCAATTGTCCAACAAAAGATTGACAATACTTACAGTATCTGGAGTTCCGTACGACAATTGCAAACTTTATTTAAACCTCAACCATATAATCTACGCAAATTATTTTAAAATAATAAAAAAAAATTATCGCCTCCCGTACCATTATTTGATAAAAGTGACTATCCGTAGAGAGTCTTTTGGCTACTACAATTCTACTCAGTGATTTGTTCCAGCATTCACCACATGATCTGCAATTGCTCTTATATGGTTCTCGATTTTTTACAGCTGCGATGTGTTTATTGGCCCTTTCGGCTATTGAGAGTTTTGTGCAAAATAGAAGTGGAGAAAGACGGGTCATTGACCTTCCTGGATATCATTGTTATGATCCTTGTGATGATTATCTGATGGCTTTAATACATCAGGTATAGGTAGTATAGTCTCCTCGTGTAATTAATTTGGATTACACCAATTACACTCATTTATCAAAAGTTAATCAAGTGAGGATCATAATTATGTATTATGATTGTTTTTACTCAAACGCATATGTATGTTAGAATATCGATTCGAATTGTTCTATTAAGGTTCTCGATCTTGGACTAATTTTAGCAGCAATTTAGTGAAATGTTGTAATAAACAACATTTGACTTGACTAGACCGAGAATCTCAGTTTAAAATTTAAATGCCTAAATTTTGCAAAATGATTATTCTCCTTTATAAATTAAGTAGCTATTGTCTGCGATTTCAGCTGTTTGTTTTTTTTATTAAAGATCGACTATTCGATCCCGATACAATAAGCCTTTACGCAAAATTTTATTACGATCCGTTTAATCATTTAGTCGTGGAACAAACAGACTGACACACTTTCGCATTTACGAGTATAAAGTATGGACGGATCAGCTTATCTAATATGCATTGATATGAATCCGTACGAATAATGTTATTAGCTAATTGGACATTTATGAAATGTTATGAAAGCCAGGAGAAAAAGCAGTATGTTGTAGAGTTTATTGGTAAGATGAATATCCACGACTGAGGAAATACGAAGATGTCATAATACATAAAAAAAAACAGCACCCAGCACCATCTAGTTCCAAACTAAGGAGTGCATGTGAGATGAAATACAAACCTATGGGAAATAATAGAATATTAAAAATATACAAACAAACAACAAACAGACCCTAAAATGAAATAAAATCCATAGTTTATTTAGCCCTTTAAATTACCACTACTGCAAGAACATTATATAGTAGAATTTTTAATAAGGACTTTATACCTACGTATTATAAAAAATAAAGTATGCAGACAAACTATTATATTAGTCAATTTTAATGCTATTGGCTAACAAGTAGTAATTGTTCCGAATAGCTGCGCGTTACATGATATGACATAACATAATGGTCAGCCAAGATTACTATGAGCAGATAGTTACCATGAAATCTGATAGACAATTATACTCTATGATTCTTTTGATCTACACACATGGTGTTAGAAATAGTTTGTGTTAGTGGGGGTTCGCCAAGGGGATGACGAAAATGGTACTCGAATAAAACTCATCGACGGGGGCTTTCACTTCAAACAAATGAAACGCGCGCTCGTACAACACTCTGTATACGCGCCTATTGCCAACTGATTCTGTTGTGCAGCGGACGCGGCAAAATCAAATTTCGAACTGTCAAATTCAAATATATTTTTTAAACTACAATTTTGAATTCAGAACGAGTGCTATTGTGATTGTCTTATGTAATGGATTGTTTGTTATAAAATTGTTTAAGTTATTAAACATAATAATAAAATTAATTTCTATAATAATTACTATTGTAATATAAACGACAGTAAACAATGGCTATCAATTGCATTGCATCATTAATGGTTTTCTACCTTGCGGTATTCTCCCACAACGGTGAAGCGGCTGAAAACGATAATTTACTCACAACACGTAAGTAATTATATAATTATTTAAGTACTGTTAATAAATATTGATTAATAATGCTAAACTAAAATATTATTATTCAGTATGAGAAAATGTAAAATTGGTTACATAAATACATGCGAGGGTCCTTCTTTAACACACTTTTACACCCTCATATAATTTTATACTTTCATTAACAATATTTACTTAAATACCTACAAAATACCAACATAAATTATATAGTAAACTTTCGAAATGCTATTGTATTAATTTATTTTCAGTAAATGCATATGTATTTAAGCGACAAACTAATATTTCCTTACCTATCCTCGCGATATTACGTTATTTGACATAATGCCATTTTTATTATTTAATTGAATATTCCTAAATATTATTATTTCATACAGAAACTAAGAAGGGATGATTGAAAGAAACCAAATAAATACAAAAAACTTTTATAAAAGTCAACACATATAAAAGGTAACTAAACTTTGATCACCTATATAAAATATATTTTTTGGGATAAAAGAATCGTTATCCATTCTTATGATACCGTCTATCTTAACATCAAATTGCATTGAGATACAGCCAGCCATTTCACAATTAAACTATAAGTGGTAATAAACAGCCAAACAGACAGATAGTCACACTTATATATATGAAAAACTGTACAGAAACAAACATAGATTTACCTAAAATACTTTGCTAATCTGCTTTAAATTATAGAAATCATAATAACTTTTAAACGACTATTACTTGTAGCTATACTGACATTGTGTTCTGTTTACATTATTTGTCCAAATTTCAGTGTCCAGAGTTCGACTCACGTTTTTACCTGTTTTATTTAGTTACTAGTGGCCCACCCTGGCTTCTTCTATGTGCTAATAATTTTATGAGTGTCCAATTTTCCAGAATGTTTCCAGGCATCTAGCCTGGAAAATTGTACCTTTGAAACAAAGAAAGATGTTTTCATTTTGGCCGTAGTTTTTTGTATATGTTATAAAACGTAACAAACAGATAGGCTCAAAATTCATCAAATATCCTTCATGTTTAGCGTATTTCATTTAAAAGAAATTTAAGGTTTTAGTGAAATTCGTCAAACTTAAAGGAATTATGATGAATTTCGAGCCCGTCTATTTAGTTTCCCCGGCTGAACAGTGGAACATATTTTAATGAAACTTAATTCAAAGTTTGTACCTCGAAGACGATATGTTCGTCTATTTCGGCTATCTTTTATCTCCAAAAAATATGAGGTAGTGATTTATATAAACGAAGTGTGGTTACAGTACAAGTCAAGGTGTGTTATGTGGCTATCAATATTGTATTTAAATGAGGTTGCTATATGTTGAGAAATATTTCATGTCCGCTCAGATCTACACTTTGACTTGTTCGGTGTCGAAATATTTTTCTTAGGCAATAAATTAGACATACACATTTGCGGGCTACAGAGATATATATATTTTATATGTTTATTGATATATATTTCGTTTTCTTTAGACGTGATTAGAAGTGATAGAAAAGAAGTGTAAGTGTACACTGATTGATTGAGAATACTTGACGGCCTCGGTGGTGTAGCAGTTTAGCATTTGTATATGAGCATGGTTGAGAGCATGATTGTTTGTATCGGTCTGGGTGTTTTCTATATATAATATGTATGTATTTACGTATATATGTATTTGTATCAGTTATTTAGTACTCATAACAGAAACTTTAGCTAGCTTAACTGGGGTCTAACTTGGGCTAAATTCACACAGCGCCAATTCACCAGACGCTGTGTAAATTTGAGAACTATATAAATAGAAATCCTTTACGAAAATCACTTGATCATAGCAGTAGGTTATGTTCTTCTTTAATGTATATCTGTGAATAGCAGTTAGGCGAAAATGCTTTGTTATGAAGATTAGATTTGGCAGTTTCTGAGGATAGCATTCTGCACGCTACTCTCCGAAATGGCTTAACAGAACTTAATGTGTTTTTTAACCTTGTTAACATAAGTACAATTTGTATAAATAGTATGATCCTTTAAAGAAGGGGATTGTTGGTAATGTTTACTAGTGGCTCCTTTGCTAACAATAGCAAAGGTTAATTTCCGCTCATTTTCCTTGGAAACCATTGTGGCTATTTTCTGGTGAATTTGCCATGATGGGCTAACCTCATACTCGTCTCTCTCATCTCATTACGATATAATGTTAAATAATATCTATTTTAAATTGTTATATTCCCAATAGATAACTGTTATATATAACTGTTCAGTCGTATATTATTATTACCAAGTACAAATTAATGTACACGCACAGTCAGCAATAAGATCTAATATTCTATCCATCCAGTCTAGTGAATACCACAGGCGTAAGGCGTTAGCGCAGGCAGATGCATCCTTCCTTATTTATCTATACAAAAAAAGTATGATTCTCTGGATATCGAGGAATTGAATTTTAAAAAATCTTCAAGGTCCGCTGTCTTAGGATTATTTTTTAAAATTTATAACCAACCAGGAACATTAGTTAATTAGAATATATATCTAAAGCTGCAGTAGCAGGCTCCTATCAGATTTAACTAGGGAGGGAGAGAACGACGAGTGGCGAAAGTGAGTATTAACGGACGTTGACAAAAGAACCCTTAAGGGTACTTTGCCTATGTAAGTCAACCTACAACCTGGTTAAAAGTCCCCAGAACTGCTTGGAGTTTTCTCTTTATCACCCGGCATCTGCACAGTGAATCCATTGAATGCTAAGAAGTTCATCTCTATATATATAATTTTTAACCACCTTCTGGCTCGGCCAATAGATTAAGTTGAGAATAATTTGCATGAATTATTATTTTTCTTAAAAACTGTCTCTTAACGTAATATTTATTTATTCGAGTATTATGTTTAACATCATTATTCAATCAACAAACTGTACATAATAGATGGTACCACTTTCCATAACGCACGCGGTCAATTTTTGTGCTATAGTATACCTAATAAGATTTGGTTGCACAATAATAGCCTATGGTCAACACAATTAAAGAAGATAATATTTTTGCTTATTTTTAAACTATTTGGAAACGGGTTTTAAAAGGAATAATTTTATGGTAGATAAAAAGATTATCATGTTAAAAAAAGGTTATCATATTTTTATGTAACTGGACATATGTATATACTGTATGATGTATGAGCGCCGCAGACAGCACGTTCTCATCTGACACCCGTCTTACCCATCATGCTAATGCATGCATGCATACTCTAGAATGGTAATTCATTCTAGAGCACTAGAGCATTTTGTCTCCGAAACCTGTATTTTCACTGTCATGTCTCACTCTCTAATCGAATTGCAGATTAAGAAGTTATTTGGCATTTTGTCTCCGAAACCTGTAATATCGCCAATTATATTTTCATCGAAGACTACGGTGAAGAAATATATCAGTAATAAAAATTGATTCAAGAGATTCCAAAACGCATCGTTTCTGTCTGAAGAAGACAAGTCAAGAAACGTTACAATAAACGCATTTTCCAGTTGTATGCGTCTTTTGGTAACGGCGCCACTTTGTAGTCAAAACAATCAAACCACGCAGTTACATTGATCTTTACAAATTGCTGTTAAAGGTTATCGTATACTGAACGACATTTTCATTTCCACAATTGTTTATCGCAATGTTTTATTAAAACAAAAAAAAAAAAACAATCACAACCGCATCAACAAAATAAAATCAAATGACATTCAAATGATAAAATACAATCTACTCTTTCCTTAAATTAAGTAAGAACTTGTGACAGTATTGTTATTTGAGAGAGGGGGGTACAGTGAAATCACTGATGGTAAGGGAAGTAGTTTAAAAGATAAAAATACCAATTAGCAAAAATACCATTAGCAATTTCAAAGTTAGAATAAATACCCAAGTATTTAAAAGAAATTTGAAAACTGAATTTACCAAATATTAAAGTAATATACCAAACTATACATGTCCCTCTGTAATATCTGAGAGGCACAACACTTATACCTAAGTAACAGATAGACTGTATAGGTTATATACCTAAAACAATTATGTTCAAAAGTAATAAAATTTCAAGTGTCTACGAAGCGATGTGGCACATGGTCAATTGATGACAGTCTCTTAAAACGGGTTACACACGACACCATCATCAGGGGCAATAGGCAGTGGTAGGCCATCAACGAAAATTGGTTCTAGATCACATAATTTTCACGTATTGTGACCACCCAGCCTATTTTAATCCCACTACCTGTGGGAAACACTATATTTATATTAATTTTAGCAATAATATATTAATATATGGCAATAATTATATATATGGCAACTCTTCCCTCGAACTCTCCCTACTTGTCACATAGTATACGCTCCATAGTTTTAAATACAAAGTAATTGTAAACGTCTAATTATACAGATATATATACAAATATAAGAAATTTAATGCAAATACAGATGTTCCACGAAAAACTAAAACTAATATAATCGCTTATTACCGTTGCTATAGTTTATAGTTTTCTATACCTCTGATTTTTATTTCAATTTCGTGTGTAGCCCTTACAACTTGAACCAATTCTTATATAACCTAAATGCTAATCAATCTACCGATAGTAGATTCAATTGTGTTGTTCTTAAACACTTTAAGCCTCCAATTAGTATTAAATACTTTCAATTTAGGCCAATAGGTCATATCCCTTGAACATGCGAGTTATGAGCTGAAGTTACTTAGTATTTTAGTGTTAATGACAACTAATTTACTGTTGTCGTCGGGAATAATTTTAAAGTCTATTAAGCGATCCATCCATGCCAAGGTCTAAAGTTTTATGAGTTTGTTCCGTTGATGAAATCGAGGGGCGATGTATTCTGCAAACAATGTTCGAATGTACTTTTGTTTGACAAAACCTTATTGCGTATGCCAATATGGTCACGTGATTTGGGCAATATTTATCTTTTTTTGTGATCCTCGTATCGGTCATTTATATTTTTTGTTGCTTATTGTACTTATGAATATTTGATTAGTTTTTTAGTGTCTATAAATATTTTAACAATCTTTGAATTTA